ACACTCAGCAACACAGGAAGCAACAGGTGTTGACAAGGATGTGGAGAAAAACCAACCCTCTCGCACTGCTGGTGGGAATGCAAACTGGTGCAGTCACTCTGGACAACAGTACGGAGGCTCCTCAAAAACTTAAAAATAGAATTGCCCTATCTACAATTCAGCAGTTGCACTACTAAGTAAATACCTAGTAGTATTGGGTAAATACCCAAGGAACACAGATATACTAATATGAAGGGATGTGTACCCCAATGTGTAGAGAAGCATTACTTACGACAGCCAAGCTATGGAAACAGCCTAAGTGTCCGCTGATTGATGAATGGATAAAGAAGATGTGGTGTGTATATGCAACGGAATAAGACTCAGCTATAAAAAAGAATGAAATCTTGCCATTTGCTATGACCTAAACAGAACCAGAGAGTATTATGCTGAATGAACTAGTAAGTCAGTCAGAAAAAGACAAAATGCCATATGATTTCACTCATATTGGAGTTAAGAAAAAAACAACCACCGGGCAAATGGGGGTGGGGCGAGAGATGCAAACTAAGAGAGGTGCAGACTCTCAACTGCAGAGAACAAACTGATTGATGGTTACGGGGGGTGGGGGAATGGGTGACATAGGTGATGGGGATTAAGGGGCGTACTTATCATGATGAGTGCCGGGTGCTGTACGCAAGTGTTGAATCACAAATATTGTGCTCCTGAAACTACTATTATACTGTACGTTACCTGGAATTTAAATAAAAACTTAAAAAAAAATTTTCAGACTTTGGGGTCATGTCAAAAGGACTCATGGGGAAGTACATTATACTTCAATTCAAATGTTAAATTTAAAAAACAGACCTAAGGGGCGCCTGGGTGGCTCAGTCAGTTGAGCGTCAACCCTTGATTTTGGCTCAGGTCACGGTCTCAGGGTTGTGGGATTGAGCCCTGTGGGGGACTCCACATGGAGCGTGGAGCCTGTCTGGAATTCTCTCCGCCCCCCCCCCCCATCCTTCCACTCTCTCTTAAAATAAAGCTCAGGGGCGCCTGAGTGGCTCAGTCAGTTCAGTATCCGGACTTCAGCTCAGGTCGTCACCTCGTGGGGCAGGAGGTGTGGGCTCTGCCCTCAGCACAGAGTCTGTTTCAGATCCTCTGTCCCTTTCTCTCTGCCTCTCCCTCGCTTGGGTGCACTCTCTCTCCAACAACAGCAACAACAACAAGACAACAACCCACTAAAAACAATAAATCTTAAGAAAAAAGGACTCAAAATAATTTGAGAAGACTTTTACTCCAAAAGATAGGCCAACCTGAGCATCAATTAGAATTACTGAGAAGTATTCAAACGTATGGAGAAGATGAAACTCCTTAGTAATAGTGACCCTAAAGACAAAAACTGGTTCCCTATCTAGGTAAATAGGGAACCGAATCAGTAATACGAAACTGGTAAATAAGGGGGAGGAATCAGGCATTTAACCTGCCTTTCTGGTATAAACGGTGCTTAGGGTAACCAACACAGTTGCTGAGGGAAATCTTCCTTTTTTAAACTTTAATTTAATTAAAAAATTATTTATTTATTTAATTTTTAAAGTTTTATTTCTGAGAGAGAGACAGCATGAGCAAGGGAGGATCAGAGAGAGAGAGGAAGACACAGTATATGAAACAGGCTCCAGGATCCGAGCTGCCAGCAGAGAGCCTGACACGGGGCTCGAACCCATGAATCGTGAGATCATGACCTGAGCTGAAGTCGGACGCTTAACTGACTGAGCCACCCAGGTGCCCTGTAATCAAAAAATTTTTAGATGTATTCAGCTAACAAATGAAGAAATGAGAGAATTACAGTATCACCACTTTGCAAGTAAGCAATGCAGGATTATGGTGGCTGCGACCATCAGAGAGAGTCAGAGCGAGAGAAAATCAGTCATCATGAGCCTCCTCAGGGAAGGAATTGTCAGCAGCTAGGAAGCAGTCTTGTCAAAACACCTAACCAGTGCAAGCCTCTAGGTTTACCTACTGAATTACGGGATGTGCAGGGCACGTCACATGTCTGGGGACAGGGGGCCTGTCAGGGGACACCACAGAGGGACAATCAGCAAAATTGAAGACGTGGGAAAACTACGGGACAAAACGACCCGGTTTCCCTCTCAAATGCAGGGTAACAAAAAGAGGGAGAATCCAGACAGTAAAAGAGACTTAGGAGACATAACAACCAAATGTAGACCTTGTTTGGAAATCAACTGGAAGAAGAAAAGATGTAGTCTACTTGAATACCTACAAGTTAAGTGATATCAGAGAACTCGGTTTTGTTTTTTAGAGATTCACAATGAAATATTTACCTATGGAAAAATAAGGTATCTTACATTTGCAGAATAGTCAGGGGTGGGACGTGGGGGGATCACTGAGATGAACATGGCCTTAAGTTACTGCAGCTGCTAAGGGTACATGGCAGCTTTGTGCTCTTATCCTGTTTTTGTGTGTGTTTGAAATTTAAAAAAAAGTTTAACTTAAAAATTTTTTTTAATGTTTCTTTATTTTTGAGAGAGAGAAAGAGAGAGACAGACAGAGCACGAGCAGGGGAGGGGCAGGGAGAGAGGGAGAATCTGAAGCAGGCTCCAGGCTCCAAGCTGTCAGCACAGAGCCCGACGTGGGGCTCGGACACAGAAACAGCGAGATCATGACCCGAGTGGAATTCAGACGCTTAACTGACTGAGCCACCCAGGCGCCCCCCAAAAAACCCTAACTTCTAAAGAAATCTCTGCATCCTCACTTAGATAAGAAATAGAAATGGGGATAGTTCTTTATTAAAAGTGTTTCCCAACGTGTTTTTTTTAACCACCCCTTAAGAAATCTTTTAAAGACATGTTTTCATAACCCTGCCCCCCATGAAATATTAATTCCACAGATACATTATCCATGTGTTTATGCACCGTGGTCTTTCAGAGGGGGCGGCAAATCACACACTCTGCAAGACTTCTGTGCTCCACCCTGACCAGCATCCTGGGGGCACCGTGGCTCTGGTGGAATACCAAGCTCCCCAGGAGCCCCGGGCCAGAAAATAAAGTCTGCGAGGGCAGCCACGTCACGGCTGGTACGGGAGGAGGGGAGAGGACCAGGCTGTGGGTCCGTAGGTCCGCTGCCAGCGTGGGTGTGGAGGCGCTGTGAGTGCCGGGCCACTGCCTACTGGATCCGGAGCAACACCAACCACCCAGCGAGGCAGTTACCATGCCGGCACTTCAATGGGGAACGGCCTCGTTCCCACCCGAGGAGAACAGGAATTGCTCCAGGACGCTGGGCTGGAAGGATCTTATCACACACCATGTGGCCTTGTGGCTAGCTGGCTGCTTGTCAAATGGCCACCCTCAGGGAGGGGCTGGTGGCCCAGAAGATCTGAAGGAGCCGACTGATAAGATTCTGCCTGCTTTTGGGGCACCTGAGTGGTTTGGTCAGTTGAGTGTCCAACTTCAGCTCAGGTCCTGATCTCACAGTTTGTGGGTTCGAGCCCCGCATTGGGCTCTGTGCTGACTGATGGCTTGGAGTCTGGAGCCCATTTCAGAGTCTGTGTCTCCCTCTCGTTCTGCCCCTCCCCTGCTCACGATCTATCTCACCCTGTCTCAAAAATAAATAAACATTAAAAAAAAAATTAAAAAAAAAAATTCTGCCTGCTTTCACACTGGGTCTGAAACCGCATGCCCATTCACTCTGGTTAACGTTAAGATTACTTTTATGTTTTTTAAATAGAGGTCAACGCTGGATGTGTCAGCCACAAAGGTTCTGCCAGATACTAAAAACCTACCAGAGGGCTAATATTGGCTACAAAAAGCCCAGAGTTTACTCCATAAACGAAATGGGTAATTTATGATAAAAGCAACGGTTTTCCAAAATTAAACAAATAACAGCAATAACACAAAAAACAAACCTTCTACCTAAGCACCTCCATGCCCAATCTTCAAAAACTTTGAAGAATGCTTTTTTAGGTTTAAGACAATCCATGTTCACGGTAAACACAGTGTTTTCCGACTGGCACAGAAAGTTGTTAAGTGACACAGAAAATTCTCTCTCGTCCAAGAGTCAATCCGTAGAGAACACTGTTAGCGGTCCGCGGATCCTTCTGACGCGTTCTGTGCGTGCGCCACATACGGCTCCGGACACACGTGGGGACTTCCCGGTGTGCTTTTCCCTCCTTTCAGTTAACGACAGGATGAGGGCACGCTTCCTTGTTGGCACGCCAGCGTCGCCATCTCCCGCCATGGTCCTGTGGACGGCGGGCCCCATTTGCTGAGCCTGTCCTGACGACGGGCACTCGCGTGTCTCCTGGGTGCTGCTATGAGCAACGATGCTGCAGTGAACTTCTTGGTTAATGACGTCATTGGGCTCAAAGCTCAACTCTCAGTGTCACTGTGACTCTGTGAAGTCATTTACCGAGGAGACGGGCGCACAAGGCCCGGGTGCCTGCTGGTGACCCACAGCCAGTGTGTCTTGGAGAAGCCCGGCAAGGAGCCCAGGCACTGAGGCTCCCAGCCCTGCTCTGGCTTCCCCCCTCACCCCCTGTGCTGCCCATGTTTCAGGGGCAAAGAAGCGAAACGGCGGGTCACAGGGCAGGTATAGTTTGACTGTGAACACTTACTGACCAACTGCTCTCCAAGGAGACCGCACCAATTTAGGACCCGCCACACACACGAGCGTCTTTTCTTCATATCGTAACACTCTCATCCTTGACAATAACGTGGGTGAAAACGATGCCATCTGGCTGTTTCAGTTTGCACGTCTTTAACAATTGAGCATTTCCCCCCATGAACTCATTGGTTACGTGCAATTATCTTGTCTCCATGCAAATGCGGAAGTTTGCTGTGTCAGGACATTTCAGTTATCTTAAAATAAAAACAAGTCTTCGTTTCATAGCACAGCATTTGCTACATCTTCTCCGTGAAGAAGAATCAGCGGGTGCAGTCCGGCGAAGAAAGATGACGGATGGGCTGTTCTCTATACTTTTTTCAATTAAAAAAATAAACAAAGAGTGAGCTCACCTTATATTCCCAGAGATTCTGGGGGGGCTTCACCCCTAGGGCTTTGACACGCTCCAGTTCAAGCAGGATGGCTCTCCTGTGGCTGCTGTTTTCTATGTTGTACGGCGCCCTTGAAAATTCTTCCTCTGTCAGAGTTAAAAGCAACCTGTGGGAGTGTGGGGGGAGCAGGAGGAGATTTCTTTTGAGATTATTTACTGGAAGCAAACTCCTCACCCCTGGGGTTCCATCCTATCCACACAAATACTCGAGACGTATGGCAGGGCAAGCTGCTTAGTATATGAAATAATAGTAAGAACAGCAAATGACTGACTGCTTGCTGTTTCCCAGTGACTCTCTGAAAATACTTCCACAGACCATCCCTGATCCATTTTACAATTCTGCAGAGTAGGGGGAATTATGACCATTTGGTGGATGAAAAAATGGCTTCGAGGAGTAAAGTGGCTCCGTGAAGGCACACCCCAGTCTGTTCTGCTCCTAACAGCTGAAAGCTCTGAACTCTCTCAGATGACTCTAGTTTTCAGGTATGTGTATATAGGAAAACAATGGGAAAGAAACCCAATAAAATGTTATGACTCACAGAGGAGCTGTTTGGGGCGAGGGGCGCCTGAGCGGCTTAGCCAGCCAAGTGTCCAATTCTTGGTTTCGGGTTAGGGCACAATCTCACGGTTCGTTGGGTTCAGGCCCCGCATGGGGCTCTCAGCTGACGGTGCAGAGATAGCGTGGGATTCTCCACCCCTCCCTCCCCTGCTCATGCACACACTCTCAAAATAAACACACAAATAGAAAAAAGAAAGAATAGCTGTTTTGGGGTAGTAATTGAATAAAAATAGCTGTAGACCCCTTATGTGGTCCCGTGCGTTGGGAAACACGAGTCCACCTCCACGAGAACCCACCGTTCAACCCCCCTGTGCACCAGCAGGTGGAGAGCCAGCGGGCGCACAACCACCGGGGAGGGGTGTAGGTGATGTCCTCTCATGGGTGATCTGGAAACACATATTAAGGTTGTAAAGGTTTATTTCCCTTGACCCGGAAATTCCAGTCCCAGGAATCTAACTTTCAGATGGAAGGCGATGAGGCAAAGATGTAAAGGCAGATAGAGAACAAAAATTTGTTTAACCACAATTTTAAGGGGAGAGGGCACTAATTCTTACAAAAAGCAGTCAAGTCAACTCAGAGCGTCTGGCTTTCCCAAAGGAGAGTCAAGAGTTGAAAGGTCAGTTCAGGGGGAAAACGAGACAACGAGACTGGGGTGTGAGGCGGGGAGGCAGGCGGCCTGGCGGTGAGGGGATGGTGCGTCTGCAACAAGCAGATGAGTGGGAGAGGCCACCCTCAGTGCAGTGTGGCGCACCAGACTATCCCTCCATGGTCCCTCCAAGGAAGGAAAGAGCCCAAGAAAGACAGACTGTGCTCTGGAAGGGGGTGGGGACATGCGACGGGCAGAGGCAGGCCTCCCCATAGCCTGGCAACTCCATTCTGGAATTCCCGGTTATCAGGGCATTTGCTACAACGTTGCTTGGAGCTGCCTGGAACAGGAAAACGGAAACAGCCCAGAAGCCCATTGGCAGAGATCAACTATAGAGACCCTAGTACCTACCCGTACATACGTACATACGTAGACACATATACGTGTGTATAATCACAGGTCTGTTTAATACAATTATATTTTCAGTTTAAGCAAATAAATAATATACACTTATGTGTTTCTCTGTATAAACACTGAAAACAACTGGGAAAGATGTCCAGAAAGATGCTAACAGTGGTTTTCTCTGAAGAGTATAATTTTGAGGGTATTTCGCTTCCATAACCTACAGTTCTACATTATTTTAAAATAACTAAAAGATACGTGTTTTTTTTCTAATTAAGAAGCAGCACATGAAATGGCTCGGCTGCTCTGGGAACAGTCAGACAGCTCAGAAGGGAAGCACAGGGCACTACTTCAGGCCCCGGCAACGGCAGTCCGGGGGACACGCATGGCCCTCGGAAACGCAGGGCTACACAGGACCCTGCACACAAAGGGTCACAGCGGCTCCGTTCGTCGCAGCCTCCAGAAGGAGCAACCCGAAAAGCTCCCGACTGAAGGACGCGTGATAAAATGGGCACAGCCCCAAGCGGGAACGTTGCTCGGCCGTAAAGATGAAGGAAGCGCTGACCCACGTGACACCTTGGATAAACCTTGACAGTGTTCTGCGAGGTGAAAAAGCCAGATTTAAACGGATTACTCTCAAGGGCAAGTCCACAGGACCATAAAGGAGAATGGAGGTCGCCTGGGGATGAGGGGGGGCCATGAGGACCGAAGGCGAGAGGTAAGGGCTCTCTTTCCAGGGTGGTGAAAATGTTCTAACACTAGATTGTGCTGATGACTGCACACATCTGTGGATACGTTAAACAACACGGACTGGCCACTTTCAACGGGTGAATTTCACAGTATGTGGATTGTGGCTCAATAGAACAGCTTACAAAAGGTCAAGGACATACCAGAAGAGCCTGTGTCTCACCTTCCATTCACTCTTTCAGATAAAAACCGGTCTCTGTAGAGAGAGGCCCAAGGGCCCAGCTGCTCGAGCCAGAGGACCACGTCCTCTGCCGTCCATCTGGCCACGGCCTTGTGGACCAGGAGGTCGTGCTCAGACTCCCTGCTGCTCCAGTGGTACACGAGCAGGACCACCTGGGGACAGGAGAGGCACCTTGAGACACAGAAAGGTCAGGGAAGCCAGCTTCTCACATGCGAGTGTGGGGCAGGGCAGGGCCGGGATGAGGCTGAGTGTGATGGGAATGATGCGGAATCGGTGCACGGCGGCAGGTGACACCACTGGCACCGAGAGTGGGGAGCAGAACTCCGCGTGGGCTCCTGTCTCTGCTGGTTGTGGGGCCTCGAGGGAACAGAGACGGGAACAGCACTCAGTGCAGAGCACCTGTGAGTGCTGCAGCCTTGGCCCCAACATCCTGGCCAACATAACTGACTCCTGTGCCTTTCCTACTGGAAAATTAGTAACCTTTACATTTTGGTAGCACAGGGTGCCCAGGTAGCTCAGTCGGTGAGGCATCCGACTTCAGCTCAGGTCATGATCTCGTGGTTCATGGGTTCGAGCCCCACGTCGGGCTCTGCGCTGATGGCTCAAAACCTGGAGCCTGCTTTGGATTCTGTGTCTCCCCTCTCTATGCCCCTCCCCTGCCCACACACTGTCCTCTCTCTGTCTCAAAAATAAACCATAATAACAACAACAGATTTTTGTAGCATGGAACTGAGAAGAAAACAGCTTCTATGTGACATGTTAGTAAAGTGCTGGGCTTGAGACGCCACCATCCTGCAGCTGTTCCCTCATCTCTAAAATGGGAATCATAGGAGTGCCTGACTGGGTCAGTCAGGAGAGCATGCGACTCGTGCTCTCGGGGTTGAGCGCTCAAGCCCATGCTGGAGACAGAACTTACACTAAAATAAATTCTAATAGAAACTAATAAATAAATAAAATGGGAATAATAATGGTGACTATTGCAGGGGTGAGGAAGAGGACAAAATGGACGGAAGCTAACAATAACTGGATTCTGAATATTACACTATCTACTTGAGTATGCGGCAGCCCTGAACAATCATCTGACCCAGAAGATGTCAACGCATGCAGTGAATGACCACATACGGGTAAGGCCATCAACTTCAGTGGAACTGACGTCAGTGAAAGCTGGGGGTGGGTTGGGGGGCAGAGAAACACAGCGATGTGCTTACCGCCACGCCGGTTAGAGCAGTGAGCACCCCGGAAAAGAATCCCCCGCCTCTCTGCGGATTCACTCGGCCTGTGTTGGTAGCTGAAGGAGCCTGATCATTCCCGTACTTCTGAAAGGCTGCGAGACTCTGGACTATGTCACTATCCTGCTGAATGTCTTCAAATCGCATTCTAATGGCATCAGGAAATAATTTTTCAATGGCATCCCTGTGGAGAATAGGAAAAAAAAAACACAAGACAGTTGGTTTGACTTAATACATTTACGATGTTTAGAGGCCAAAATAAAACTAACCAGTTGATATTTAGTAACATACAGGCAACTTTAGAATAGTCAAGACTGGATACGGCCTGGTTGGTGACAGCAAAAAATTGGAAACAACCTGTGTGTCCACTGCTAGAGAAAGAGTCTCACCATGGTCTGTGCACACAATGGAATGCCACATAGTTTTTAAAATGAATTTATGGGATATCGTTTGTATTGAGACGAATAAATTTAAGACCTACATATTGTTGGGTGAAGATAATAAATATGGGGGCGCCTGGGTGGCTCAGTCGCTTGAGCATTTGACTTTGGCTCAGGTCATGTTCTCATGGTTCGTGGGTTTGAGCTCCCGCATCAGGCTCTGTGCTGACAGCTCGGAGCCTGGAGCCTGTTTCGGATTCTGGGTCTCCCTCTCTCTCTGCCCCTCCCCCACCTGCGCTCCATCTCTCAAAAATAAGCAAACATTAAAAAAAAAAACAACAAATGCGGAGCCTTACAGATAGGATACGACTGATATGAGGAAATACTTGCATTTCCTACTGGCACACGTAGGTACAGAAGTATCCTTAACATTCTGAAGGAAGTCACAACAGAGTCATGACTGAAATGACTCTGAGGAAAAGGAAGGAAGGGCTGTGGATGGGGAGGAGAGGGCAAAGGGATCTTTAACTTTATCAGTAAGAACTCTCATTCTTTAAAAACAATATAAACAAATGAAGGTCTCTCAGTATTGCTGATGGGATTCACCATCAATTCACAGAAAAGAAAACAAGTAGAGCTGTCTTCGTTTTCAATTACACATAATCAGAGAATCTTCCTTCAATTAAGATTAACCTGCAGGTAATCCAGGCTGACAGGTGGGAGCGAAGCGCTTGTAAATATATCTCCCATGAAAAAGTGAATGTTAGGTTAACGTTTTCAGGGAACTTTCTGGTATTCTGTTGGTGTCAAGAAGGCAACAGAAGAAAAGCAAGGACTTGAGGCTCGAAGACCTTACAGGCACATTATAAACATTATGAATGCAAGCGGAAAGGAGCCTGCTTAATTGACTGAGCTGCCCAGTCACCCCCATTTAAGCTGACTTTTAAATGTGATCAATTGAATTTCTAAAAATTCACACTCTGTAAACCAAATAAACCTACTGAATTTCTTTCTGCCCTGTCATACTTCTGTAAGACATTGTGTTTTGTGAGGCCATTTGTTGTGTGAGGCTATACGCGGGAGGCCATCTCTACTGGTGTGAAAATTGAAACAGTTTATCCAAAGATTATGAAAATCAGTAGCAAACGGATTTGTACAGAATTGTTCAGCGATGCTATTTTTTCTATGAGACCTAGAGTGTTCTCAGGGGATACAAATTGATAAAAAGTGTTACATGACAAAGAATTACAAGCAATGGTCTGATAACCAGACTTTTTTTTTCCTTTATGATAAATAATCACAAACCTATCACAGTCACCTGTGAGGAAGGGAGTCTGGCTCTGCGGGTCCTTGAGCCCCCCCGACTGCCAGGCCAGCAGATCTAGAATGACCACGGTGGGGGTTGGCCCTGTGCCTCTGGCCTCTTCAAACATGGCTGCCCCCATGAAGAGAAAGCACAGCATGCAAGCTGTATGGGCTTATATGGACCGGGCATTACCTGAGGAGAATATTGACTTTGGGGAAAACTTCCCATTTTTCTCTGCATTCCGGACACTCTGTTTTCTTCGAAGAGGCCCACCATAAAGCCAGGCAGTGCCGGCAGAAGCTGTGGCCACAGTTCAAGGTGGTGGGGTTAACCAGGATGTCATAACAGCAGTGGCAGGAAAATTCACTAACAGAAATCTGAGGGCCGGTGCTCTTGAGGGGGTCATCCTCCTCCAGGGTTGTGGTGTTCGGATCATTCTGCGAAGACTCCTCCATCTCTTACCAAATCCTGGCATTCACAGGCACGAAAAATTTCAGACTTACAAAACTGCTGCAAAGCATCCTTAAATCTAGGGGGATAAAAAAGAACAACAGAATTAGGACTAATAGTTTAGCAGGTCTTTGAGACTACTGCCACTCTGTTAAAGCTGATTCGTATAAATGTCTTCTTTAAAGTATTTATTTTGAGACAGAGGGAGAGCGAGAGTGGGGTAGGGCGGGGGGCAAGGGGGAAAGAATCCCAAGCAGGCTCCTCACAGAGCCTAACACGGGGCTTATTCCCATGACCGTGAGCTCATGACCTGAGCCAAAACCAGGAGTCAGATGCCTAACTGACTGAGCTGCCCAGGCGCCCCCATTAAAGCTGATTTTTAAATGTGATCAATTGAATTTCTAAAAATTCACACTCTGTAAACCAAATAAACTTACTGAATTTCTTTCTGCCCTGTCATACTTCTGAAAATTAGGTGAAGCAAAATAATGTAGTGGAAAGTTCAGCGGCCTTGGTGATGGTGGAGAATTCTAGATCCTTCTCTTTCACTAACTTACTTGGAAAATAATTCCTCTGGCCTCAGTGTTCTCAATTACATTTCTCAAGTCCTTTCATGTGCATGATTTTAAATAAACCAGCTTCTTATGGGGGGGATGGGGCGTCTGGGTGGCTCCGTTGGTTGGGTGTCCTAGTCTTGACTTCGGCTCAGGTCATGATCTCAGTTTGTGGGACTGAGCCCCACATCGGGCTCTGCACTGACTGACAGCATGGAGCCTGCTTGGGATTCTCTCTCCTGTCTCTCTTTACCCCCTCCCCCACATGTGTGCTCTCTCTCAAAATAAATAAACATTAAAAAAACCCACAGCTTCTTGGGCCAGTTAAATGTCTAACAGATGTACTTCATGTAAATAACACGTTTTTTATCCAAATCTGTTTTCCCAGTAGATACTTATTTCATAAACATGTGATTTCAGAGGCTCCCACAGGAATAGTACCAAGAAGTGAGTGAAGCCTTATTTTGTGAGGTGCCCTGTGCCAGGTCAACTCCCTTGGGGCTCAACATACCCTTTCCTCCCAAATCGACCCAAACACACGTCATGGCCTCTGGATTCGGCCAGTTTGGTGTCACAGAAACAAGGTAATGTTGCTAATAAACAAATGGCAAAGGACCATCTTCTCGTTCTCATCTGGGTCTTAGGAGACTGTTGTACTGAGAGGCGGTACAGTGCAGGACACCATGGAGTTAGGGTCACTTGCTCTGTGGCTGGGCCTAAGTTACTCAAGCTCTCTGAGCCCTGTGTTCTCAACTGTGAAATGGTGACTAACAGTATAAAAGCCTTCAAGGCTTCTTGTGAGGATCAGAGATGTTCAAAGTAACATGGCAGGGATGGCGTATAGTGCAAACAGGAGTCAATGAATTGACTGTCCCACTATTCCTGGTATGATGACAGTGGAGGTGCTGGTGAGTAAGGGCTTCCCCATGCGGCTGCCGTGAGGAGAAAGGCAGTACACCATAAACCACTCCCCATCACCCGCAGTGCTCATGCCGAGAGGGCTTGCGCTTTCCACTTCACAGGTCCGGTGGTCAAGAAACAGACCCCAGCGTAGGGCTGCCTGGCTTCTTACTCCGTCTGTGCCATTCGCTAGCTGTAGGGTCTGGACTTCTTGGAGCATCAGCTTCCTCGTGTTTAAGTGTATGTGTGTGTGTGTGTGTGTGTGTGTGCGCGCGCGTGCAGGAAGAGCATCTTCCCCCACTGGCAGGTTTTAAGAATTGAATAGGAGAATGGAAGTGAAGTGTCTGTCTCATACAGAGCCTGACACGTGGTAAGTATGCCACAAATGGTAGCAATTTGCCTGGTTTTCAAATACAGTCATGAGAATCTTATCTTTTATCAAGTGAGGTTTTATGCTTGTAGAGTACTATAAATTGGTTATTTATTTGTGTTTATTTATTTTGAGAGAGAGAACATGCAAATGCAGGAGAGGGGCAGACAGAGAGGAGAGAGAGAATCCCTGACCATGGCAAGCCTGGGGCTCTATCTCATGAACCGTGAGGTCACGACCTGGGATTTCAGCCAGATTTCAACCGACTGAGGCACCCCTAGACCACTCTAGTTTAAATAAGCAAATCTACAGGGGCGCCAGGGCGGCTCAGTCAGTTAAGCCTCCAACTCCTGGTTTCAGCTCTGGTCATGATCTCAGGGTTCATGACTTCCGTCCTGGGTTTGACTCTGTGCTGACGGCAGGGAGCCTGCCTGGGATTCTGTCTTCCTCTCTCTCTCTCTTTCTGGGATTCTGTCTTATTCTCTCTCTCAAAAATAAATAAGCAAATCTATAAACAAAGAGAGAAGAAAAGAAAATGAGGTATTTGTAGTGGGTCTGGGTATGTGTCATGACTATTTTGCTTTTCTATATTTACCATGATGTTCTTGATGAAAATGTATAACGTTATAATTGTAAAAACACATATAAAATTATAAAAAAATATGCTGTATTCCTTTGACCCAACACTGGTGGGGGATTTTTCTTTTTTCTTTTAATATAACTTATTGTCAAGCTGGCCTCCTAACAACACCCAGTGCTCATCCCAACAAGTGCCCTCCTCCATGCCCGTCACCCACTTGCTCCTCTCCCCGGTGGGGGTCTTTCAACTCAAAGAATAAACACAGCTAAATTTTAAACTCAGTGTTAAAGTGGAATAGAGGTCATCAATGACACTAAAGATAAAATTAGGTAAAGATAAATATAAAATTAAAAAATTAAATATAAAATATAAATATTTAAAATATACTAATTTAATTATTACTCACAATAATAAATTATAGTAAAAAGGGGACACTCTTCTGTACAGGCCTAAAACTGTTGTTTTTGGGGCAGCTGGCTGGCCCAGTTGGTGGAGCATGCTACTTTTTAAAATAATTTTAATGTTTATTCATTTTTGAGAGAGAGACAAACATAGCATGAGTGGGGGAGGGCAGAGATATATTTTTTTAAAATGTTTGTTTATTTTTGAGAGAGACAGAACAGAGGAGGGCACAGAGAGAGGGGGGTACAGAATCCAAAGCAGGCTCCAGGCTCCGAGCTGTCAGCACAGAGCCTGATGTGGGGCTCGAACTCGTGAACCACAAGACCATGACCTGATCTGAAGTCGGACACCCCACCAACGGAGCCACCCAGGCACCCTGGATCATGCTACTCTTCATGTCAGGGTTGTGAGCTTGAGCCCCACGATGGGTGTAGAAATTACTTAAAACAGCTGAGGTCATGATCTCAGTTTGAGCTCAAGCCCCATGTCAGGCTCTGTGCTGGGTGGCTCAGTCAGTTAAGTCTCTTGATTTCCGTTCACGTCATGACCTCATGGTTTCTGAGTTCGAGCCCCACACCAGGCTCCACAGTGTCCATGTGGAGAGTGCACACTCTCTTTTTCTTTCTCAAAATAAATAAACTTAAAAAATATTTTTTAAATCTTAAAAAAAAAAAAAAAACCTTCTTTTTGGAAGAAAATGTTCAAATAAATGTTCTTAGTGACAAACTCTAAATCATTTCTGATAATCATATTTACTTATTACTTATATGTTTAGTAACATTAAAAAAATTCCCAAGTGCTTTCCTGTAGGGAGTCCCTTCAAATTGCTAAGGAAGTGGGAGATCTGATGCAGATTTTAAGAAAAAGCAATCATTTTCATAAAGTAGTTCCTTTATCTGGCTAATACTGACTAAATAACTGCCATGAGGAGAACACTGTCCCAGGAAATAAATAAAGGAACCACCGCTATGTACTGAGCACTCCTACGAGCTGGGCACTGGGCTTGCCCTCCAGGCACGTTCAGGGTCTCCTGTGGATTCACTGTCGGAGGAAACATCCCAAGGCTTCTAGTGAAGGCTGGGCGGGGGTCCGGAAAGATGGGCCGGGCTCGGGCACTGCTGTCGGTGCTTTTGTGGGGAGCAGTGAGTGACCCAGAGCTACCGGTCTGATCTGGGGCCACGTGCGCCTAGTGAGTGAGGGGCGGGCAGACGGGAGCAGAGAGAGGTTTTACAGGCAAGCAGGTCAGCAAAGCTGTGCTGGAGGATGATAAACCTCCTCAGGAAGGACTGCAGGGCCAGGACATCTTAGAAGTAAAATGTTTAGTCACTTCTAGGGACACAGGGGACACGGAGGGAAAAGAGCACAAGAATGACAGGTGATAAAGAAAAGGATCAATATTATCTGAGAGCTGATAAGGAAATAACTGACGGACTCTGATGGAGAGAGAGAGAGAATGATGGAAGACGCTGGCCAGGTGTCAGAGCTGGGGAGGAAGAGACGTGCCTGTGAGCAAATAGGGCCCGTCTTAGAAAGAAGGGTAAGTTGAATTTTAGAAAGGTTGAGGCGGAGGTGATGATAAGACTTCGGAGTAGAATGTTCTAGTGAGCAGCTGGAGTACAAAACTGTAGTTGGGAGTTAAGAATGAGGCCGAATGTGTGCACTTCCGAGTCATCTGCAAAGAAATGGCAGCTTGTGCTGAAATTAATTTCCACCAATTAGCCTTTTAAAACTAGAAGGTACCAGCTGTTCCTGGGTTACCCGATTTGAAAGTTGATTTCTCGTGAGAGAAAACAAACCATACAATGACACCTAAAACGTATTTTTGGGGTGTGGGTGGCTCAGTTGGTGGAGCGTCTGACTCGACTTTGGCTCAGGTCATGATCTTGAAGTTCATGAGTCTGAGCAAAGCCTACTTGGGGATTCTGTTCCCCCCCGCCTCCTGCCTCTCTCAAAATAAATTAAAAATACACTTAAAAAAATAAATCAATAAAATAAAGCGTGTTTTTTAAAATGAAAAAGATTTTTTTTAGGTTTATTTTTATGATAGAGAGACAGAGCACCAGCAGGGGAGGGGCAGAGAGATGGAGACAGAATGTGAAGCAGACCCCAGGCTCTGAGCTGTCAGCACGAAGCCGGCTGCAAGGCTTGAACTCATTAAGCAGTGAGATCATGACCTGAGCCAAAGTCGGATGCTCAAGCGACAGCCACCCCAGGCGCCCCTAAAACATGTTTTTAGGTAGTATTTTGAGAAGCTAAGGTGGCCACTAACTTTG